AAGCTAGTGTATAACGAAGTTTTCTCCCCCAGCGAAGCATAAAAAATGGGTCGTAACAGAGGGCCTTTCATTCACATGAACTACAATCGTATCAATTGGAATTGTTCTTATAAAACTTTAGCAATCCACGAGTTCTATAAATTATCATTGATCAATAGAGAAAATAAGAATAACAGTAACTACCCAGTCTTTCTTTTGAGTTCATCTACAGATTGGTCAAAGTATGGATCATTTCAATGTAGACGAAAGAAAGTACGTACATGTAAGCAGGAGTGACTTGCACCATAAACAAGGTTCTTCACAATTGGCCAAAAGTAACAATCCCGGGGTAACAATTTAGCTAAAGAACACTAAAAATGTCTCTAGCCCTAAGACCACTTGAGGTGCAGATCAATATGAACGAGTATGAAAAAGAGGTTTCAAAATAGTGCAGATCAACTGCGTAAGTAACCCCTAAGATAAGATAAGCACTGCAACACAGTGTTGAAGCTCTGACTTCCTACAGATTGCACTTTTAAATATCTCTGCTAGCATAAAGCATTAGTCTTTATCAGTACGTTCAAATTGACCCGTGTAACCGAAATACGTCTCTGAGTAGAATGTAAACCCCAAAATAGACCTAACAACGTGCCAAGACAATTTTTTTGCAATGCGAATTTCTGATATGAATTAAGTCTTTCAAATGTGACGGAAAACCCTTAATTTTTCAAATCACTCACCAATGTAATCATTACATTGCCTCAACAGAACCAGTTCAATAAACAGAAACTTAACAAAAATAACACATTTTTTCTACCTATCTATCACTGTCTACCTGACACATGAGATCACTGAATGGAACAAACAGATTTCTTTTTGCGTAAATCTGGTCGGCTTCTGCTTCGCGAGAGCTCTTTCACCGAAGTTGCCTAAAACACAAAAATTGGTCATAAATCTCTGTTAATAGAGCATCGATCGGTCATAGGTTCAAATCAAGTTGAAGCTTCAATTACCCCCCCCCCTGCTTTTTGGTAGCTGCTTATTTTTCTACTGACTATCATAGTTATAAACTTAGTTATTCACACTAAGTCTTCAGCAACATTTAAAATTTATATTGCTTAACTTGGTTTAAAACTGTTATGTCCATAATTGCTGTTTAATGAGGTTGACTGACTTCAAGTTACCACATCACATGTAAATGAAACCAAAATTTGGAACTTACTTTAACCAAAGGCCTACGTAAAATTGCGTTTTCCACTTTGTTCTTAGGGAATTATTTATTGTTACAATTCATAACGAAGGTGAATTAATCAACATGACACGAGCGTGGGACAAAGAAAAATTCTGAGTCCCCGACAGGAATCCTGTCGGGGACTCAGAATTTTTCTTTGTCCCACGCTCGTGTCATGTTGATTAATTCACCTTCACATTTCATTACCGAGCTTAAAATNTTATTGGTATCCCAAATCACATTGGATTAGCCAAAAATTAGCTAGATAATCAAACAATCTTGCATGAAAATGTTGGAACTAGATAAAGCTTGAATTCTATCCAATACAATATTTTATTTCTTAGCATGTCCAGCCTACATAATGGTGCATAAAAACGCTCATACTAGTCTAATCGGAACCTGTCTTCAATTGTTTTCTTGGCAAACTACAAACGTTTAGATGATAAAAGCAATCTAAGAACTCTCAAAATTCGCGCCAGCTTGTTGCTAAATAATATGCAATACCTGCCAAGAAAGGTTTGTTAAACAACTCTCATTCTTCGAAGGCTCAGTGTGTAAATAAGAGTCCAAATATTACAGGCTAAATCTGCGTTACTGATCGATGAAAAAGAAAACCCCGCTACAAAATATTAGGACACTTCAAAGAAAGACTCAATAGTCAGACAAGAACTGCGATTGAAATGAATGTTTTGTACTTTTCAAATCATTATGACACCAATATCTTTGTCAACCAAGACGGGCCATAAAGCTTTAGTCGAAAACACGATACAAACAATAACATGTCGGAAACACACGGTGGCGATTGTTAGCACAGTTGGTTAAGATGCCACACCAGATCTAGCAAAGACGCCATGTTTTGACAAACGTTGGCGGCCATAAAACAGCAATTCTCTTTGCGACAAACATTCAGAACAGGTGTGTTGACAACGTACCAGCACTTAGTAAATATGCTCAAAATGAGTTAAATCTACATGTGAAAGTGTATCTCTTGCGGCTCACAAAGGAGTACAGTATTTAGCAAAATGACGAAAAGACTTGAACCTTTGTACTAATCTAGCATGAGAACAAGGTCATTTTTCGATTTTTTGTTTCTACGCTCTGTATGCGATAACTCTTTTGATGTACATCTGACGTTTGCAGAGCATGTTTCATATTTCACGTCATTGTTAGGGGCCATGTAGTGTGAAAAGACTTTCGATCCAAACGCAGGTACCTTCACGATATTATCTCGACTGAATTTTTGAAAAGCAAATTCTTTCGAATACCCTTCCCACCTCCCTGAAAATAAACAGCCAGATGATAAGGCGATCATTCGAACAAAAACAATTCCCGGACTTTTTGTTTTCCAATTTCAAAGTAATTAGAGCCAACTGTTAAACAATGAAGACAATATAACCTGCAAACATCAAAACAAATTCTGCAAGTTTATATGTAAGGAAATATAATCTAACATTCCGATCAAAAAGTCCCGACAGTATTTGTAAGCAGACATTGTTGGGCAATTTCACTTTTACTAATAAGGACTTACTTATAAAGAATGCCCTAGGTAACAATGACGGACGTAATCTCGACAACTTGTTACCCTGTTCTCAAAACTCAGAATCTATTTGTTTAAGGCTACCCTTAAGGTAATAAAATATCGTTGTTATTCAGTAAACGTGCCGCATAAAACAAAGCTCAAGACATTTAAAATCCCGACATCGTTTGAAAAAATAATCGAAATTAAATATTGACATGAACAGCAAAGAACACGGTGTTTAAACCATTGCTCTGAAAGAAAGGAACATCTGAGACTTGCTCAAATAAACGAGCTTGTATTGGTTCAAGTGTTCCTTAAGTTTATACAAGAACTAAAGTTGACTCAGCCTCTCTTACAATAACTTCCTTAGACAATGTCTCGTTCCTCACAGCCCATTGTGAGCTCGTAGGTATGGAGTCGGTATCCTTCTAAGTCACCACTTTATAGTGAATAGTGAAATAACATTGCCGACATTAGGCATGGGGAATTTATCAAGAAATTTCAATCCATTCCATTATAAAAGAAAATTGTTTTACAATGTTCTTTACAAATCTATAAACAATATGACCTGTCAACTGATCAAACAAGAGAACATGTCTTAAAAGAAACCTGTTTCAGTCTACGTATTCACTTAATATTCCTCTTAATCCAAAGATGCAGACAAGGGTTTCTTTTTAAAGTTTCCTCCTTTGTGATGGAAAGTGCGGTTTAATCAGAATTAAAATATCTTGATAAAAGTATCTTATTTCCTTTTTTGGCGAGAAAAACAAACAGTGTATATTTTGACAGGTTTAACGTTTATACTTTTCCACGTCACTTTTAAAGTGTCCATAACGTTAATTTTACTTTTTCTTTACTTTCTAGCCCAAATGTACGAATCACCAAAAATACTTCTCAGAAAAAAATGTTTCTCGAACATAACGCGATTTTTAGAAAAGTTACAATTCTCTATTTTTGCCGTAAACCCTCGCCGAGCTGATTAAGAAGTACAGCGGGCTCCTATCTGGGTTGACATTTCACCATGCGTTGTGTTTTCAAAATCAAGGAAAGAGTGAGTGTCGCATCTTGCCCCTACAACGCATCTTTTTGGCATTTTCCCAGATTTACTGGACGTCAAGAAATTTCAACCTGTTTACTTGCAGTCTGAAGTCACGTGTTAATCTTAATCTTCGTCACAGTTCCTTTGTTACGGAGAACTGAGAGAAGACTAAGGTGGACAAGGAACTAAAATGCGGGAAAATTTGAAAGTTCTAACAAATTATATTTTAAAACACGTTTTATTCAAATGAAATTCTTTTAGAAGAAGCCTATTGAGCGAAGTATAGATTCAACTGAAAAAGTACAAAAAAACGGCATAAAACGTAAATATAGTAAAGCAAATCAGTCAATCAATCAATCAGTAAATAGGTCACGAGCACTTCAAGTCAAAAGCCTGAATTTCAAATCAAATTAGTAGACGGAAAAGCAACTAAATCACACAAATTTTAACCCGGTCCAAGTTCATATCTACGACTACGACTGTATCTCTCCTGAGTAACCAAGGTGACTGGCGTTTGAAACCAAAACTGATCATGTAACTGAATTTTATACAAAACTTTGTTTCTCTGAAGTTTGTATAATATTATATAGTATTTTAGAAATATTTTGTCTGACTCAACACGAGTTCCCCATTCTTCGCCATACCACCCAGTCTCCTTCGCAGCCGTTATTAAGGTCGTCACGCAACGCTTCTCCCCAGAGAAGCGTTGCGTGACGATCCTAATGGTGTTTTTCTATCTTAGCAAACTACTATTTTCAGGTTTCCTTCAATTAAAAGTAATTTTTACGTTGCCAAACTAATTCAAACTAACGTGACCGAGCTCCTTTTAAATGGCTCCCGCTCGATAAAGGAAAAATGTACGCTTTTAATTATGTTACTAACTTTGCTTTTATTTCTTCTGCAGAAAATAATTTGCATAGTCCAGAAAAAGGGCACTGGCTGTAAAAACCCGCAAAAACCTTAAAATACAAACCTCATTTAATTTGACAAGGGCTCAATAATTTCCCTGCCCGAACATAAAAAAACACAGTCTTCTTGACTTGTGACAACCCTGCTAAAGCTCTGTGGTGTATGAACATGAAACTTTGTAAATGTACGGTCTCAAAAGTGCACTCCCGGAAACACATGAAGAAGATTGATGATAACATGATACCACTAAAAAGGCCATAAATAAAGCAAAAAGAAACCACTCAGACACACAAACTAACCAACTAACAAACGATCCATTTTGCGACGGCTAAAGCAGATATAATTTCCTTCAAGAGTTTTACAACACGACAAAATATTTCAACCAGCCAGAAATAATTACAAACCTTATATTAGATACTTGTTTCTCAAAAGGGAGTATTAAAATCATTACTTATAAACCTATTAAATTTCTATACAATAATTAATTTTGGTACACCTGTTATTTAGTTAAGAGAGGCTACTTTCAATTTATAAAAAGCCTACAAAATATCAAGGCACTCATATAAATCTAACGTTTTACAAAGGTTCGATCCTTTCTTCTAAAAAAGCTAGTGTATAACGAAGTTTTCTCCCCCAGCGAAGCATAAAAAATGGGTCGTAACAGAGGGCCTTTCATTCACATGAACTACAATCGTATCAATTGGAATTGTTCTTATAAAACTTTAGCAATCCACGAGTTCTATAAATTATCATTGATCAATAGAGAAAATAAGAATAACAGTAACTACCCAGTCTTTCTTTTGAGTTCATCTACAGATTGGTCAAAGTATGGATCATTTCAATGTAGACGAAAGAAAGTACGTACATGTAAGCAGGAGTGACTTGCACCATAAACAAGGTTCTTCACAATTGGCCAAAAGTAACAATCCCGGGGTAACAATTTAGCTAAAGAACACTAAAAATGTCTCTAGCCCTAAGACCACTTGAGGTGCAGATCAATATGAACGAGTATGAAAAAGAGGTTTCAAAATAGTGCAGATCAACTGCGTAAGTAACCCCTAAGATAAGATAAGCACTGCAACACAGTGTTGAAGCTCTGACTTCCTACAGATTGCACTTTTAAATATCTCTGCTAGCATAAAGCATTAGTCTTTATCAGTACGTTCAAATTGACCCGTGTAACCGAAATACGTCTCTGAGTAGAATGTAAACCCCAAAATAGACCTAACAACGTGCCAAGACAATTTTTTTGCAATGCGAATTTCTGATATGAATTAAGTCTTTCAAATGTGACGGAAAACCCTTAATTTTTCAAATCACTCACCAATGTAATCATTACATTGCCTCAACAGAACCAGTTCAATAAACAGAAACTTAACAAAAATAACACATTTTTTCTACCTATCTATCACTGTCTACCTGACACATGAGATCACTGAATGGAACAAACAGATTTCTTTTTGCGTAAATCTGGTCGGCTTCTGCTTCGCGAGAGCTCTTTCACCGAAGTTGCCTAAAACACAAAAATTGGTCATAAATCTCTGTTAATAGAGCATCGATCGGTCATAGGTTCAAATCAAGTTGAAGCTTCAATTACCCCCCCCCCTGCTTTTTGGTAGCTGCTTATTTTTCTACTGACTATCATAGTTATAAACTTAGTTATTCACACTAAGTCTTCAGCAACATTTAAAATTTATATTGCTTAACTTGGTTTAAAACTGTTATGTCCATAATTGCTGTTTAATGAGGTTGACTGACTTCAAGTTACCACATCACATGTAAATGAAACCAAAATTTGGAACTTACTTTAACCAAAGGCCTACGTAAAATTGCGTTTTCCACTTTGTTCTTAGGGAATTATTTATTGTTACAATTCATAACGAAGGTGAATTAATCAACATGACACGAGCGTGGGACAAAGAAAAATTCTGAGTCCCCGACAGGAATCCTGTCGGGGACTCAGAATTTTTCTTTGTCCCACGCTCGTGTCATGTTGATTAATTCACCTTCACATTTCATTACCGAGCTTAAAATTCACCATCTTTATTAACTTATCAATTCATAACGACTTGTAAAAGTTGGCCTGAACTACTTGTTACTTCACTCGGGAAAGTTTACAGGAAAAATAAAACAACGAAACACACTCACTTTAGACAAGTTTGGCAAAGAAGCTGCAGAGCTAATCTGACGTAACTTCTGTTTTCGTATTTGACTCTCCATCTCTTTGCGGGTTTTCTGCAACACGAGATTACAAGTCACTTATGGTAAAACGAGCAACGCGTAGTCGAAATCTTGTCTCCGAAAGGTGATTGAGCCTGCGATTTTCGACTGGCGTTGCCAAGCAACATCACGTATCAGTATGGCGCTGTGCTGACGAGAAATCGCACTGGATCCAAGAGGCCTGCGAGAGCTCGTGTTATATGTATCTGTCATTGAAGGAACGTCTTTCTCTCATTGTACATCTATCAACAGCCCAAGCAATTCTTACACGCATACAAGGTACAATGTATACTAGCCTGTGAACGCAGTTGTATTTCCGGCGGAACCACGTGACAGCCCGAAATACGTCTGTGTTCGCAGGCTAAATGTATACCAGATTGACTAACTTTCGTCAATCAGTATTTAGAGTTAACAGTAAAGCCCTTTATTACATGTTCAGTTAACAAGTAATAGAGGGATTTGGATTGCCTGAAACATCAACTTTGCTTACTTTTTTGACACTCGTATGACTACAACGTTAGGCACACCAAATTTACGTTAAACACGGAGAGAATAGAGCTGTCTACGCATATCAAGGCTTTTCTCAGACCGAACAGTCGGTGCCTACGTCTGAATCTCTGACGACGACCAAAACAACAACAACAACAACAACAACAAACAAAAACAACAACAAAAACAAACACCACGACAAAAACAAACAGTAGTACACTACAACTTGCTGCACATGGAAATCCAACATAAAAACGTACTTTATCACCATGGGACATCAATAGAGTCACAATATCGTCATAGCGGTACCAGTGGGCCAGTTCAATTGCAGATTCACCGTTCTGAAAGACAACAGGAAAAAGAAGATCACAACTAATACATGTCTATTGTGAAGCTACATTTAAGAAAGCGAGACGATTCTGTTCAGTTGTATCTCGCAAGAATTGTGAAAAGGAAATAAACGCAACATATGCACATCCAGAGGAAGACAAATGAACTTAACTGCACCTCAGGCCTATGATGTCCCTATTCAGTAAGTGAAAGCTAGTCACTGATAGGAACACGCCAACCGCTAAATAATTTTTCATTTCTTTCTTCTTCAACGCAGGCACGCGGCAGTGGCGTTATCCAGCGGCTAGGAGCTAGAAACCCACGTACTTTTTTGTGTTGCTTACATTGTATATATCGCCGTCCTCACCTTTGTAAGAACCGACACATTCGCACCAAACAGCAACAACACCTCTACTATTCTTCTCTTTCCTCTCATAGCTGCGTAATGAAGAGGAGTCCGGTGCTCCTGCAGGCAATAAGAAAAGTTATATAGACGCCAGGCAGCTGGTTTTCCTGTCTCGACGTTAAGTCAAATGCCTAACACAATGTTCAGATGGCTACCGACTTTGTTATTTTTTTACCACTACATATTTGCCTTACCACGTACACCATCTCGTGAACACGACCACCTCGTTATTACAGACACCGGCTGAATCATGTTTCCTTAACTCCGACCAACTCGGACAATGGAAAAAAAAGACAGTCTTTGATAGATTGCTAGTTTTCCACATTTTTTTTTGCTTTTTTTTTTTTGACGGGGGGCAGATGCCCCTGGCTTGTGACAAGCTCATGAAAGTACCTTATTTAACTTAAACTGGCCAGTTACAACAAAACGCATGGTTTGACAGCAGAGTCCGAATTAAACTATCGTATACATAAAAGTATCATGACTTCATTTTAAACGAATCAAAACCAGTATGACAGTTGTTGTTTTAACTTCATCTCTTCAAAAGCCATTGAAGTGTCACAGCGTATCTTTGCTAAGTGCAAGGCAAGGAGATTTCAACCCTAGTTACTTCTAGATCTCTGGTGTAACTGACTTCCCAGGGCTGACTGTGTGTGCATTTATTAACACAAAGTCCCAAGTTACCTCATCAGCTAAATTGACGTTAGCTCCGCCAGGAATAAGACGATGGACAATGGCATGCTGACCACTCACTGCTGCCTCGTGTAAAGCTGATTTGCCAAACTACAATTTTACATTGGATAAATCAGTACAGCATATATTGCCTTGTGATCTAATCAGCTTCTAAGCCCAGCTTTGCCAAATATACAGGTACGCAACTATTCCCGATGAGGATAAAATTAGAAATTCAGTCTTTCAACTCTTCTGTAAGCTGAATAAGCATGGTGAATACGAGTACATACAACTACACCTGCCAAATTGTCTTCTCTGTGCTTTTCGATCCTGGGAGTGTTCGAGATCCCAAAACGTATCAAAAGTATCAAAAGTTCTTTTCTCTACCGAAAATTCCAACACTGTACCCAGCCTCACAATGTGTTAGAAACTAACCTTTTCCTAAATCGGACTATATTTACGTGTACTTGCTTATTGAAAATGGTTCTCGTTCGCAACTGCTTCATGCGAACACTGTACTCAAGGTTTGTGTGATCAGTGTTAGACGGTGGTTGGTTTGTATGGGATGGAAGTTTCAGTCCCACGTGCCTCAAATCCACACAGACTCGCTCATAAAATGCGATAGTTGTAATCAAAGACTGTAGCACGGATTTCAGTAAAGATTGTAACTGTATAAAATGTCAATTACCCCATCCTGAAGATTAGTATCTGCTTCAGCACTTATTAAAGCTTCAACAATGCCAAGATGCCCCTCCCAGCTGGCAACCATCATAGCAGATTGACCAAACTGCAAATAAAATAATTGTGTATTTAAAGGATCCTTTAGGGAGTATACACATGTATGTAAATGTATCATGAATGATACACCAATATACAGTACTTCATGCATGCAAAGTTAGAAGTTTTTTTTCCCTTTACATCCTTCAGACAACATGGACTCTAAATGTACTGCACTGTACCTCATTTTGATGATTCACGTCAACTCCTTCTTCAATAAGTCTCCTGACCTCCTCCTCGTCACCTGCTTTGGCGGCGATCATGAGATCTTTGCAGAGCTCCATCTGAAATGCAGCAGTTCATGAGCTCCAGCTTAACAAAACTTGACACTACCATAATGGCATTTTTACTGCTTTTCATATTTTGCAATCATGAAATGCTATGATTAACACCATGATCAAATGATCTACTAATTAACAGCGTAATTAATCAATTACAAGCAAATATAATGAAAATAATTTTGTCCAGGTGAATAGGCAGAGTGAATTTCCCCTTCAAGGGATTTGAACAAACATTTGATTGAATGTTGGTTACTTTACCGATACTTTAATCCTTACAAGATCTCCCCCCACCCCCATTCAGAAAAAAATTTCGTTTACAGTAATTGGGTATGTTTTCCATGACTTGCCTGATTTGGTTGGAGTTTTGTTGCTAACATAAAAAAAGTAATCTCTATGCAAAAACCTGTTTTTCCATTTCTTTATCCTCAGCTCCACGTATGCTCATTTGTAATTCTTCTCGGCTAAGAAACATCTCTTTCTGCAATTGAACAATATAGAAAAACAGGATTGTTATACATGCAGTACATTTTCTTACATTTAGTGTACTCGATGAACAGCTTTTTTTAGTATCTTGGGTATCCATACACAATTTGTATCCACATAACTAGCAAGTGCAGTTCCACTATTGTTACTGTACAATGTCTAAAGGTACAGATGTATGTGTACATGTACAATTGTACATGAATAAATGTATATTCTCAAGACACAGTGGAAAGAGTCTAACATCAGAGATCCCCATGAGAAGCACCCAAACATGCATGCAAGGCACAGTCCCAGGAATGCTAGGGAAAAACACTGAGGACATTATTTTTTCAAGCCTCCAGGCCCCAGTTGTTCCAAAAGGTGGATAATGCTATCTACCAGATAAATCGCTATCCAGAGGAAAAGTGTTAACAAAACAAACCACGCTATCCATTGGATGGTGATTTATTCAGTAGCTAACGTTATCCACATTTCAACCAACCTGGGCCAGGCCCTCTTGTTGGGTAGGTATGCTCATTTTGTTTGAAACAGGCCAGTCTTACATTTCTTCCACAATTCTGTGCAAAAGTACATGTACATCAAGAGAGCAAACAGAGTCTGCTTTAACTGAGCATAACAATTTACACAGATACAGCTAATCTAAGGTCATTTAATATGTTTTTTTGTTCAAAACAAACTTAGTTTTAGCACAAAAAGAAAATTTAATTTTGCCATCTGAAATTTTCTGCAATACTGGCTGCAAATACACATATGCATGCAGATGCAGGTCAAATTACATACATAGGTAAGTTAACAGTTGCTACATGTAACTTTGAAAAATAGATGCATGTAGATGCACTTACTTCTTTGTAGATTGAGCTTACGCTTGCAGCCGACAAGAGATGACTTTTGTAACAATGATCAAAAGTACCAGTATCTACAAGACAAACCAGTTAAGACTTAAACAATGGTATTATTACAATTTTCAAAGATTATAAGATGCAACGGTTACTTAACACAATTTAATTAATTTATCACATGACACTGTACATGTAGCATGCTAAGGGAAAAGGCCAAAACGTCCTGATAGAACTTGATTCTTCTTCATGCAATGCTTGCTGCAACAAAAACATTGCTACACATATCCATTTCAGAATGTGTTATACTAGGCAACTTTTTGTCTTGAAACTTGTCTTGCAAGAAAAGACAATTTTTCATCTCACAATTTGTCTTACTAAACAAATTGTGAGACAAGTCATAAGAAAAATTAACTATTTAAAGCAAATTAAAAGCACCTTTTATTTCCTAAATAAAAAACCGTCAAGAAAAAACCAGACTGTCAATCAGCTTTAAAGATGTTGGCTTAACTTAATCCATGTATTGTAATTTCAAGATGTCATCCTCTGGTCATTTCCCTGCTATGAGTAACCACAATTTCCACACTTTGTCAAAAAGAGTAACTACCGGCCATATACAAGTTAATGTACTACATGTAGTCACAACCCCTAAAATGGTCAAATCCTGTTTCCAGGGTTTTTCCTTCAGTTGTACAGTGAAAATAAATCAAAGTCAACAAAAAACAAAAAGAAGAACGGTTAAAATCACCTGTACTGACAGAGTCATCACTGAATTTTCCCTCTGACCTCCTTCCAGTTTTCTTGTAGTCTGGTGGTGCTCTGTATGGTGGTGGAACTTCGGCAAATCTTCTACCTGTGTCATCATGATCAGTAAACACACTGTCTGCATAATCTGATAAAATTTCACTCTCTGACTTTGTGAAGGTCAAGTGTTGCTGTTGGTACCCATTCAGAGATCTATCTGGTCTGTCTGGGTTGTGTTGGCTGTATTCATCAAAACGATAATCCACTGATTTACTCTCAAAGCTATCACTTGGCATGGCCAATGTTTTGGGAGACTGCCTTAACTTGTTTGATTCCATACTTGGACTTTCCCAGCCATGCTGGGCTACACTGTGATAGTCTGTGGACACAATGAATGGCTGTTGTTTGGGTGTGTCAACAAGTCCAGTTTTCACCATGACTAGCTTGCATCCTGTTTGAGTTGGGTCACGGAAACTCAGCGGGGGAGTATATAATGGAGTGCAAACACCACCATACATGTTCCTAGCAGAGTCATGTCTTGGAGTGGCTGTCTCTTCCTCCAGTGCCATCCTGTGTTGATAAAAATCCTCTTGTAGATACAGCTGCTGTGTGTTTCCAGGTTCTGGTTCAGGAATCATTGTTTTGTAGTAATCTTCTGCAGCAGTATCCTCATACCATGAAGAATAGCCATTCTCTGCTTGCCTAGATGGTGAGTGGCTTCCCTTTGCTGATCGCTCCTTGGTGTCAAAACCTGGCTGGCTCATATTTAAGGATGTCATTCCCACAGGTTTATAAATTTCATCATTTACAAATCTCACTGGTTGCTCCTTGGAGTTTGCACTTTTGTTCCCCATGTTGACTTGAAATGTGGCAGTTGAGGTATACAGTTTTTTGCCATCAGGTTTAGAAGTTGACCTTTCCAATGGAATTAAATTCTGCTTTGTTGAAGAGCTACCCTCTCCAACCTCAGCTTCTGCCATTCCAATAGATGATGTTTGAATTAAGCTTTGAGACTGCCATCCTTTGTCATTGTTATAATTGTTGTCCTCTACAGAAAAGTCCATAACAGACACTTGTCTTTTGCCATTTTCACTTTGTGCTGCATATAATTCTGGGTTGTATAAAAATTGTTGATTTTGTAACTTATCTGTATCATTGTAATGAGCATGCTTCTTGGCTTCAGTGGGCTCTTTGAAAGAACGCAAACTTTGCCCATCTTCAGCTTGCTCGACAAAGTCACCCGGCATAGACTCATTAACAGATGAGAAGCTTGTGATTGACAGGTCATCGCCATAACCATTTTTTCCAGATTTCCTACCAAAGTAAACACCACTTATGCTTAACTGCTCCAGAGCAAGACAGACGTCATTCCTTCCCAAAGATGTGCGGACGTGTCTGCGTGTGCACAAAGGAACCAACACATAGACCAGTAAATCTGTTCTACCAAATGAAACTCCCATGAATATACCTGTTTCATAGTCAGGATCACAAGAGACAATCTCTGGAACTCGGAAAAGTCTTTTTAGAGTCTGTAAAATTGCCTTCTTGTTCTCTGTGAACCAAGTAAAATGATTCTTGATCCGAATCCACAGAGGAAAATATCCACAAGCTGAAAACAATAAAAGAATTTAATCAAAATAAAATTATGTTTCTGCTAAGAAATTAAGTTTTTTAAGAAGAAAGAAGAGTTCACTACCTGATTCATTGTACATAACAAACATGTATAGTGTGCCCAGTGCATGCCCAGAAAAACCTTGCAGATTTGATCTTTGAACATCTTCAAAGGATTTCAACAGTTAAGGGCTTTCAAGGATCCTCAATGGACTTTTGAAGAACTTCAAGGGTCTTTCAAAGACTTTTGAAAGAACTTCAAGGATCTTGCAAAGATGTCAGCTAAAATCTAAAACAGATCCCTGTAAAGACCTTTGTTAAATCATGAAATTTTTTGTTTTGTTTTTTATCTGCTTTTGAAAGCCAAAATCACATTACTTTGTTGACCAAAAATGTCCCAACTTTGGGAAAATTTTACCCACAAACCGATACAAGATAATAGCCACCATATTTATCTGTGCAAAACAGCTGACTGTTAGAACTGGGATGGGGTACGGGGGAAATGAAGGATGAAGGGAGACAAGATATTTAAGTACCAGAACAAGTGTAAGTGCATGTACAGCTTGGTGCAACCACAAGATTGAGTTTAAGAATATACATGCATGTATGTAGTTCTTATGTTTTAAGCAAACCTCAGCAGTGTCCAAAGAAAAATGTGTCTGATAGCCCAGGACAAGTGGATTTTGTGGTCCACCTAGTGAATTTATTGGGGGCATTAGCTGGAAAATGATTTTCTCTGCATTATAAGCACTAAGCTATAAGGAGACTAACATACACCATTCAAGAACTTCCCTAGTGTTTGCATACACATAGATCTGGATATTCTGGCCCAAAACTGTTGGCTCTTTCTAAATATTATTTTCCTATTATTATTATCTTTTTCTTCACAAGATTAAAAGAATTGAAACATGATCACCTAGATGTGCAGGTACCATGCTGCCTTCCAATAGTTAAGTGATTTAAGTGTACTTAGCTCGTTATACATAACAAAAAATTTAATAAATTAAACTACATTGAAATGATTTGATACAATATTGATCGGTATCGGAAGCATGATTTCATGCAAGTTTCAAGTGAGAGAATTTCATGGAATTTCCTTTTTTGTCTCCAGAATTCCCCCACTTCAAGGCAGGAAATGTTTTCATGACAGCTTAAATAACAAGGTCTCGTGCGGGCTTCAAAACGATTGTCACTACGTATAAAATGCAAATAATGTAAACAGTGGGGTACCTGTATAGCAACCTTTTCATGCAAAACGGTAGGAATTCTGCAAAGAGCCCCACGATTTACATGTAAGAACAGGTGATTTAAGGACATTTACCTGTAGCTTCACAGCTATAGAAACATATTTGCATAATACTGGACAAATAAAACGCTACGGTTCGAACGTAAACAAACCGGAATTTATGATGACGTACCTTGAAAAACTCGTGGATCCACAGGATTGTTACTAGCTTCCCATTCATTCAAAACTTCAAGGAGGTCATAACAATTTATCTTCTTTAAGAGTCGCTGTAGAACTCTTAAATTGTCTTCCCCGTAATATAAATTCAGGACAGCTATTAAGGCCTCACCGTCTGTCACGGTCTTCAACGTGTCACTTCGAATAACATTCCGGAGAAATCCAACGATGTTATCTACTTCATCCAACCTCAGTTTACGAGCCACAAAATCTTTGATTTCTTGTAGAGGCTCAAAAACCAACTCTGAAAGTCTCTCTCTGTCATATCGAAGACCCTGAATATTGAATTCAAAATCGTCCGCAGCCATTTTCCGCTGAAAATGTGAAAGAAGTCCAAAAATATTCCAATGCAATGGTCTCTTCAACGAATGGATTCGGTGGTTAGAAGCCCTAAAAAGCCACAGCTTACGCAAATTTAACGGGTTGCAGTCTCTGTCATCAGCCTTTAAAAAACGGTGGCTTAAGCTTTAAGCTTAAGCTTCAAAAGTAATACTTTCTGGAGGAGTTGAATTTCCTTGTGACATTCACAAGACGGCTTTGCTTTCTTTGTCGCTGGAATTTTACGCCAACCTTTCTCGTTGTCACAATCACCGATAGGTAAACCAGATGTTATCGGCAATGTCCTGTCTGATTGGCTTTTAAGAACTATCCTTTGATAAATGTCAACGCTGTATTCCTTTCATGTGGCGGTCATGCAACACCGCAAAAAATACCGATTGCCCTTTGTGTCGCGTTGCGCTTCGTCGCTTACGAGACCGAAATCGTTTTAAATAAACTCGTTATATAAATTTTCCATGCGTGAAAACACAAAGAAACCACCCATGGGAGTTTAGTAACTAAACCAACAATGCACCGATGCGAAAGCCAGTGGGAATCCAAGCTGATGGCACAGTTTGAACGCGTTTTTCTCTTTAGATGAGACCGTTTGACACTGTTGAAAGACACGACAATCCAACAGGAAGGAGCTAAATCCCTCGAAAGGTGAACTATGTTGACAAACTTATTTCCAGCCTGCAACGACTCACAAAGTCATTAGCTCGAGGTGATTCAATCACGTCTGCACTCTAAGCAACCAAAATAAACAACGCTTGTCTTGCTTTCTCGTCAGATAGAAATTTGCCACATCGCGCTGAAAGCTTTTCCAGGTCGAAGGAAACTGAACGCTAGAACCTAGTCTTCTTCCCTACGTTCTCAGCACTTGTCCCAGACTTGCGCGCCTGGTAGATTCCACTGCTTCAAACTGTTTTGACTCCAAGGTGGCTTTTGTAAAATGTCAGATATTTGTCCTTGTAACCTTAAAACTCCATCTTCTAAGGAAGATTTTATAGTTTTCCTGTGATGTATTTCTTTAGCTGGAATTCAGGAATGTCGCTGATTTCAAGACGAACTGAGAAGTCACTACTGTACATGTTGCACTGTTACACTGACTGTTAGTGCTAAGCTTTGAGTACAGGAACAAGTGGTTTTAATCCTATATACGTTGTACGAATTAGTTCTAGTACGTCAAATTATGTTCTCCTGCTGATAACCGCGTGTAAAAATGACTGCACATTTTCGAAGATCAGTAGAGACAGAGCAGGGAAATGGTAATGAGGCAATGACCCTCGTCGATTTAGAGAACGTGGAAGATGGTGGAGAAAATTGTGAAAGTGGTTTTGTTTCACCAACGGAGCTAACGAAGATCAATTTCCGATCACTGATTGGTCATACAGACGAGGTATGAAGTTAAAAATATAACAACATTACTGTTTAGTTTACTACCGTAGGATAGTGTTTTGTTGATGTTGTTGTTTTTTAGGTAATTATGTATAAGATAACTGCAACCCACTAAAGCCTTTAAAGTGAAAGTGCATTATGTAATACATCATGATGTATCCACTTAACATGCATGTAGCATGCATGTTACATGTACATGTATGTTGATAAACGTTTAGAGAAAATGGAAGGGTCCAAGTAATGCTTGGGTGTTAAAAATGGAAGTTACCCCTGGAAAATGTAGGTCTTTAATTACTCTCTTCTTAACAGGTGAATACATGTGCATTTTCTTCTGACTGGTCAAAAATTGTCACTGGAGGGGATGACATGCTGGTCAAGTCATGGGACACAAAGGCTGGCAAAGTGTTATTCACTTTAGACAGTCATGAAGGTAAGGAAGATTTTTTTTAATTATTTGCAGCCAAATATTTGGCATGGTCCAATTTCCCAACCCTTGTTTTTTTTTTTGTTTTTTGTTTTTTTTTTTCACATTCTAACTCGGCCTTAGGCCTACATAGGCTGGAACTAAATGAAAACACAGTAAATGTTATGCATATGTTTTTTTATTTTATTTTATCTGGGAGAAATTCATCTATGCCAACTCTCTTGGAGAGTCCCCTGGATACATACCAAATCTCTTGCATGGGCCACCAAATTTCTTAGATATGAAGGGCAGTTCTTTATATATGTACATGTAGTAAATGTTTCACCCTTTTTTGGTCTATTTTCGGCATTTTTGTACAAATTATTTACCTCTTGTGGATGCACATTGGCCTTATGGTTAGTTCACTTACCTCCTGATCAAGAGGTCTGGGTTCAAACCCTAGCCTGATTGGTCTCGGACAGTCCCGGTGGCTCGCGGCCAGATTTTGATTATTTTAGGTTGGAATGTGAGCAACTTGCATCAAACCTTGAATTCAGTCTACTGTAAACTTGCAAAGGTATTAACCCTTGCTACTTTGGGAATTAGCAGCCTTTGGGGCTCTTTACTTTTGGGAGGTCGTTACTTTCAAGGGGTTGTTACTTTATGGGAGCAAAACACGTTATATAAAATTGATACAACTGAGCTGACTTTTTACCATATAAAAGACAGAAATTCGTAAAAACAGCTCATAAAATATGAGATACAATTCTTTGTTCCAGTTTAAATCTATGTTGCCGCCACATGGGTGGGCTCCTTATGTCTAGACCATATTATTGTCGGTGGTCAACAGGAAAGCAAGTCAGATACCGTTGACCATTGAACCTTTGGTCTCACTGTTTTCAGGGAGGGAGGTAGGGGTGGGCGTGCTACTTTCAGAGGGCGACCGCAATTTTTTGAGGCTACTTTTGGGGTGTCGCTATTTTTTGGGAGATGGGTCATTACTTTCGGAAGTTTACGGTATTGTAGAATCACAATGTGCATTAATTGAAGTGAAGATAAATAAAGGGATATAATCATCAATAAGAATTAATAATGAACCAATGAATCATTAACAAATTATTAACGCCCAAGTCGCTTGTGGAGGGAAGGTGCCTACGAAGCCCGGGGGCTGCAACTGCAGTCACATCCCCAAGGTGCTAGAACACCCGACTGGCCTACCCAACCCGCAACCAAGCCACGAGTCCCCCGCGCCAAGCGCCCTACAGGCACCTGTCATACTCAAGCCAGATGGCATTGGTGGAAAAAAAAAAAAGCTAAAAAGAGGGGGGGGATAGGGAGGGAACGTCGAGAACTGCTAAACTATAATTCAATCCACAATGCCACACTAACAGAGCGATGAACACACTGCGAGCTCATGGGATGACAACACATGTACTAACCAAAATACCGCTGGACAATGTCAGCCCCAGGGCTCTCAGGACCATATGACTGCTGCAAACGCTACAGAATGCACCAAATGCTAAAACAAATGCTAACAGATGGCCAAGGCACTATCAAACGCCTACAAAAAACGTTACTGACCAGACTAGCTCCTGGCCATAAACTATGTAAAATTTCATTGAACTATACCAAACGCTACAGAACGCACCAAACGCTAACCAAAAGCTCACAGACAGCCAAGACACTAATAACCACCTATAAAAATGCTACTGACCAGACTAGCTCCTAGTCGTTAACTATGATAAATTCCATTTAACTATATTTATTTTGGAAAAGTGTATTTTACAAGTGTGTAAACTACTGGCACTTAATACTACTAAAATTGTTTAATCAGCATCAGGATTATAGTCATGCAATTATATATCTATTTACTTACAAGAAGATTGACTGGTGTAAAATTCTTTTGACCCAAAATATTACTTACTAGGTGCAATAAAATGTGTATGTTTTTCATCCGATGGGAAGTTGTTTGCCTCTGCTTCTTATGACCATACTGTTAGAGTTGTAAACAGCAGCACTGGAAAAGAAGTCTTCAATCTGGAAGGTAATAACATTTTGTCTGTAGTTGGAATCAGTACCATAATCAGCAGTTTAATGACTCATACACTGTACATGATACATTTTGAAAACATTATCTAAATTTTCAAGCTTGTTCATGATCTGGCTCAATCTTCCCTATCTTTTTCAGTTCTTAGCCGATATGAAATCCTCTTACATAAGAGGATTAGACTATCACTTTTCATTGATATTCCCTTTGCCTTGGAGGTAACTTAACTACTTAAAAATGTTCTGCAGTGCATTTATTGTTTTGCCACATTTTCAAGTCTAAGGTTAATGCAGCTATTGTTTCCCAGACAAGTTAGAAACCAACAAACTACAGTGTACCTGTATTTCCTAACCACCAAAAGTCAATCACATAATCATTACAAAATTGAGCACTATCTCTTTGCTGCAAGACATATGAATGAATGTATTCCTCAAAATTAACCAAAATGACAGATCTGTCAGTTTTGACACTTGTAAACATTTGTTCTGCCCTTTGCCAGGATTTGGGGCACTTTTGGAGTTTGGTAAGGCTTGACAAAATTTGGTACGATTGAAAACCACCATCTGCATTTGTAGAGAGATACACAACAATCAGTAAATAAGATCATTTACAATAAGATTATGTTATTTTTCAGGACACACGCACAGTGTTGAGACATGTTGTTTTTCTCCTGACTCAAGATACTTGTGTTCAGGATCTTGGGACACATCTGCAGTTGTTTGGAATTTAAAGGTGTAAATCAGTTTGTCGTAATAGTCATGGCCATAGTAGTGTATGACGTTTGCCGACTACAGACCACAGACTACAGACTGCAGAATTTTTAACTTATGTCATTTTCCCGTTTCCCTTACCAATAGCTAACCATAAACTTGTAAGCTAACCTAAGCAGTATTCAGGCTAACCTGAGTGATGTTAAGGCTAACTGGAGTTCTATTTAGGCCTAAATGTAGTCTGAAGTCTGCAATAGTCGTAAACGTACACCGAGGCCATAGGCAGAAAAAAGTTATAAATGAGGCAATGTTATTTTTTTGTTTATTTATTTATTTGGTGGTAGTCGTTTACATCCCCCTTCAAAAAAAGCAACAAAAACAGAAAAAAAAAATGACTCAGGCATGTGCCTCAGTTTGCTTGTCACTAGCTATGGAACTGAAAGTGTACCAGGTATTATTGTTCTGGGGCAACGGGCATTATTTCAATCTGTTGTTTGTTATATTGTTCTCTCAAAGGTTATCAGGCCATTCATGTGAGACCTTGTGATAGCTGCTACCCGAACCCAAATTGCACTGGTGGGGAGCCCTAGTAGAAACATGAATATCGGAGAATAGAACTTACAACTGTAGCAAGTTTGTTTCATACATGGAAGTTAATTAAGGTTAAATCTAACGACCGTTGTAATAGAAGTATTCTCTTGGGCGGTTGAAAACTGATTCTGTTTGGAAGAAGATCATTCTGCATAATAAAGGATGCGAAAAGGTCTTACTTAATTCTTGACCTTGCTTTGGAATGCTATGCTACATAAAACTGCTTAAACCCCTTTTGTATTTGCCTCCAGACTGGCACTGCTGCATTTGTTTTGGATGGCCATCGAAATGTTGTGCAGGCCTGTGCATTCTCTGTTGATAGCTCAACTGTGGTAAGTTACTGCCCTACAAAACAAACTGATGCATTATCATTATTTTATCTCACAGTGTAGTCACTTTGAGATCTATGTAGATTGCAATGATCGCTTACTGTTAGTCTTTGACAGACCCCTTATAATGCATGATGCAAATTTCTAAAGTCTTTTTTTTATGTCTTGTATTTAAATAGGCAACAGGTTCTTGGGACTGTACAGTTCGTTTGTGGCCTCTAACAGATGGCAAAATGAATGTCACATGTTTGAAAGGACACAAAAGTAACATTCATGCAGTAGCATTTTCTTCCAATTCATTACTGGTTAGTACAGTTTTTCCCCTGGTGCAAAAGTAATTATGAGATTATACAGTTGATTCATAGACCCATAATTAACTTATGAATGAGAAAGTCAAATATTAAGTTTGCTAAATAATCAAAACTCCATGTATATCATATTACAAGTACTATTCTACTGTACATACTGTATGTTATATAATTTGCGCATACAAGAATGTCTCAACTTTTTGATGATTTGAGCCTGAAAATGTTTATCTTATTTTGTTATTATCAGTTAGTTCTTTAGTTATTTTTTGAACTCTGTTCTCTTCAAATCCAACTCTGGCTTTAGCACTGTTCCTTGATCATTTGTGGTTACATTTGTTTGTTCTTCCAGGCCTCAGCATCATGGGACAGTACCCTCCGACTTTGGGACACCCAGTCAGGAAATTTGTTGCATGTATTAGAGGGACACAGTGGCTGGGTTCAGGTAAACCTAGTTTTAGTTCTCTTTTAGATTGACACAGGGTAATTAGAAAAGGGTCGAGCTACATGTAAGTCAAGTTGCAGCAGAGAACTAATTTGGTCCTGCTTCTCATTGGTTAATAAAGCAGCATCTCGCCAAGAGAACAGTAAGAGCCATTGGTTCTGTGGACATATAATGATTGCAATAAAGTGTGATTATTTCTTTGTTTCAGGCGTGTTCATTTTCAGCTGATGGAAAGCTTCTTGCATCCGCCTCTGATGATCAAACGGTATGAGTTCTTATGCAAGCCATTTGGTGATTGTTTTCTTTTTGGGCTTTTTCGGTAGTTTTTACATACAAAGTCAGAGCGCCTTGGTGTCTTTTCGTTTTGGATTAACTGTACTTTTCGAGGTATAACTAAACTTTTTTTCTGACAGCAACGGTTTTCATAATGTTTGATTATTTAGTGCGATGTTTTCTCCCAGTCGGGACTATTCGCTAATATTTGCAAAGTTTATAAGTTACATGTATTTTGGAACTTTAGAATTCTTGGCCAATGATTTGTACATGATATTTCATTTGTTCACTTGACCTATACATATATTTTGCTCATCTACATGTATGAGCATATTGCGAACTCGTAATGTGACCGGCTCCCAGTTGGCTTGATAGCTCAGTTGGTAGAACACTGCACCGGTATCGCAGAGTTTCTTTTTATTGCAACTCCTTGAGTTGCTTTCAAAACTGCGATGGCCTCTTATGTCCATCATTTTACAAAGGCTGAAGTAGGAGTCTAGATAACTGTTATTTCTTTCTGTTTTCTTTTTTTTCTTTTTTTTTTTTTTTCTATTTAAGGTTCGTGTATGGGACACAGAAACTGCGAAGTGCATCAAGGAACTTGAGGTAACTAGAAAGTGATGTCCTACCTTCCACATTTGTACCATTGCTTATGCAAAATAAGATTACTTGTTTTTTCAGGCTTTAATTTCACAACTGCTTAAGTTGTGTCGATAACTGCGATGATCAATCATATCTTCATATCGTTCAAATATATGGTCTTTCATATATTCACTTGCAGCGCTTATGTATGTTCACATCTACTAGGCTTTAGCAAATCTTAGCACTCATCAGTCTCGCTTTAGCTATTGTTTATTTTACCCTCGCGGTGACAGAAAGTAAAATTTAAATAGTCAACTGAGTATGACTATGAAAAAGTTTGGTTCTCGTCATCATCTACACTACAAATTAAAGTCTCGAGACTTTCAACTCTCCAGTCGTTGTTTGGAATTGTCTTGGAACACTGTCTCTTGTGTGTGGAATATTACACAGAATATGAATTTCTAGCCAATCGTAGCGCTCGCAGACTCTATTCTCTTTACCAGTGTAAAATAAACTTTAATTGTGGTGGTATTTTTGTTATTCTTCAGTGCGATACAGATGAAATTCATACTTGCTGTTTCACTCCCAATGGCTCGGTATTCGCGTCTGGACCAGCAGAAGCCGAAACAACTATTTGTATTTATTAAATATAATGACGATATTGGCCAATCTAAGTCTGGCTTAAGCCAACCTTAACACTTAATGACCGCCAGCTAAAGAGAACAGGAGGAGGTATCTTTGATAGCAGTTTTAGGCCACTAAGTAGTAATGAGTTAATCATTGTTTATGACTGATTTTGGATAGTTCACTTCTTGAAAAAGTTATACTCACAAATGATACCACATCC